ATGATAGTTCACCAGCGCGGGCTATGAACGTTCTAGCCTTTTGAAGTACGAACGGTATTGCCAGACAATGAAACAATTAATAATATCCGATTCAATATATCGTTTTCAGACCTCGCTCTAGATGCGCCATTATGATAACATTAACCGCCCCTTGAGTACCTACGTCTTAGTACGTAATTCGCGCGGTTTAACAAAGATTACCGTAATCTATATCACACCGACGGGCTGCTCGCCGAACGAATGAAAACTATTATCAAACAATAGGATTTTGTTTTCTTTCTGTTTTTATAGAAACGGTACAGTATAAAGATAATAATAATGGGTAATTGTATTATTATTGTTCCAACGCGTCATCGCGTACACACGGTGTCGCGTCCTACCGGAGAACCGGAAAACCGTTTTTACAGAAACTTACTTTTTGTCCGCCGGTGAACGGACATACGATATTCGGAATTTCGCGTTGCCCTCTGTTTTCGCCCGTCGTTTTTACCGTAGGACGTCATTGTTTTCTTCTGTTTCTATCGGTTTGGGCCATTTCTATCGTGTAACGGATCGAGTTAGGGTTCGGTATACGGACAATAATGGGTAATTGATTATATTACTGTTATTGTTCCAACGCGTCATCGCGTCCTGTCGCGTCCTACCGGAGAACCGGGAGACCACCGTTTTTACAGAAACTTACCTTTTGTCCGCCGGTATACTTGCAAACAATATTCGGAATTTCGCGTTGCCCTCTATTTTTGCCCATCGTTTTCACCGCAACTACGTTTTCGATACGTCGGTCGTATCGCAAGTGCGTATGCCGAATACGCGCTCGTTAAAAGAATAGTGAAAACTCATCGACCCTAACGTCGGGCATAACACGTCAGTAAGCAGGTAGGTACCTATATTTCATGAGAGTTTCGCAAACAAATTAAAACGTACACGGTGAAATTTCCGAGGCCGATTTCAGAATTAACGCGCCCAAACACGCGGTCTTGTTACCGTTTTTTTACGATTACGGCGACGATAAAATACGGTGTTTTTTTTTTTCTCTCTCCGTTTGTTTACACTTCCAAAGCTGCCGATCTACACCACCGGGGACGGGTCGCGCTATTTTCAGAACAAAAGCATTACGACGCACCGCGAAATCCGCGATAACCTATCGGCCCCGTGCGCAATATCGGGATTTGCGTCACTACAACGCGGCCGCCACGGCGACCGGACCACGCTGGTTTTGTACAGTGAAAACAGATTTTTCGTTCACGTTTATAGGAAAAAAATAAACAAACAATCAGTTAATATTCAACGAAATCGCCGTTAAATATCCAACGGCCGGACGGTACGCGGGCGCCTTTACGGTGGCGGGCTCGGGACGAAAAATCCGGGCCGGGTGAGGGGGGGGGATGACGATGCACGATTTTCTGGCTTTTACGGCGGTAACAAGCTCGCGGCAATATGTTCCGGACGTGAGCACATTCGGACGCCGGACCCAATCGCCCGGCCCGGCCGCCGCGGGTCCGCGGCCGAGTACCTCACACACTGCGATTCGAACAACACCCGCCCGTATTATGTTTCGGATCTCAACGTGCCCGCCTTCTTGAAATAATACATAAATATTCATTTACGCTTCGTTGTGAAACACCTCGACGGCGTTAACTATTTACGCGTTGTCCGTGCGCAGACATTTGTCCGTCATTTCGCGCGCGCGGACGACGAAAACGCCGGTCATTATCTTCCCGGTGACGCCGCGTCGGTGGCATCCGTTGTCGTTGCCGGTCGTCCGCGCTGCAATAACACGGACCGCGCGGCGGCAAATGATCACACGAATCCAAACCGTTGCCTACACGTGCAACGAAAACGGAATAAAACGTTCGGTCCGCGACAACACGGCGTGCGGCGGTACCCACGGTATTACGACGGAATATCGAAAAACCGATTCGGCGATCGTTCAAAATTTGTAATCGTTTTTTTTTTTTTTTGCTTTCATAATCTAAAAACGGACGCGTATGCCCGCGCCATTGCACGTACCTGCATACACCGGCGCCGCCCATCGACTCGCGGAGCGCCTAACAATGATAACGACGCAGATATCCGTCGACCGATATTATCGACTCGTTTCGGCGTTTTTACGGGTACGTACGACCCGCGCACCGCCGGACGACCGGTACGGACGGCCAAACGGGTCGGTAATGCCCGTCGCGGCTCGTCCGTACTCGGTGCGATCGCGGCGCGCGTACCCCGTTGTGTAAAGCGCTCGTCCGGCGCGAGTGATTTACAATTCGTATTGTCCGGACCGGCTGCGTTAAACGCCGTCCGGTCGACGTCGTCACGGCACGCTGCGTGATCCCGTTTCGATTGACGGCCGCCGGCACTCGCGCCCGCGAAACGTTTAACGACGCGCGCGGAAAACGGACGGCCGCCGCGTTTCGCGGCCCGCGATTCGTTCGCGAGCCGCATTGGCGCGTTCTCCGCGCGCGAAACGAGCCGTCACCGTGCGGACGGGGCGAACCTCTCCGTTGCCGGCCCCGGTCGCACGGGCGGTCCGGACGGCGCGAACACGATAAACGCGCCTACACGCCGGCGAACAGGAACGGCCCGGCGCTTTTCCGCCCTGTCGCGGGCGCGAACCCCCGCGCCGCCCCGGTGAAACCGTGCGGCAGCGTCCCCGGAACGAGCGCAGTGAACCCCTAAATCTCACCTGACAGACGCGGGGTTTTAATATAAATCGAATCGGAGGCGGGGGCCTCCACGGCCGTCGGTTCCGGACCGGACAATTTTATTGCGGATCGCTGTTGGGTGCCTAACATTCGGCCGAATAAATTTGTAGAGCTGCTCGTTTCTTAAATGTTCTGGAACACAAATTCCGGGTAAAAATAAATATTTTCCGACACAACGAGTGTACCCGCTTGAATGGATCACCTGCACGCGTACACGAACATAAAAATTAAAAAAATAGGAGATATTCCGAGTGCGTCCCGTTTAACGGTTTACCTTTTTCATAACCCGAGCGCGACCGCTATCTTGTGGATTAACCGAATTAAATTGCCCGAGTTTCTCCACAGTCGTGTACTCGTATAATAAATTATCCGCAGCTGTAGATATACACACCAATTTTATATTTAAGATTTATACAGTGGGGCGAAACAGAAATTTATTTCAATTTTGATAATAACTAAGCTAGACTAGTGAACACGGCTAGTTGTAGTGTAGTCTTCTAGTGAAAGAATAAACGAAATAGTACCGTAATTTTTGTTGTATCCAATACCGAAGTAGTGACGTTATTTTCAAATTTTTCAAAAAATGTCATTGCCAGATAACATGTTTCAAGCCAACGTCAGCCTTTTATAGTAAATTTTTGATAAAACTTTAGTAAAATAAAATTAGTATACTCACCCTAAATGAATGGACGTGGGAAAAATATGAAAATAATACCAATACAATACAAAATATAAAAAATAAACAAACATTTTGTGGTGCACTATGGGTAACTCTAAATGAACCGAGACGCACTCGGGTGGCCCCGAAAGAATATTGGCCCGCCTCTAGGCAAAGAACTAAATCCGCCACCGGCTCGTTTCGAGTGTGGGCAAAGACCCCGGGACAGAATGATCGTTTTCGGGAAGTTTCACGGGCCTATAACAGTATTATTGTTGTACGGATTACTCGTCCGCCCGTTCGGAAGTTTCACAATAACGCGCTTAAGTGTTTCGGTACGGCCGGCGCCCGTACCAAATATAAGTTTGGTTTTATGAATAGTCAAACTAATAATATTTAACACGTTCGACGCGGTACAACGAGGCAATAACCATCAACAATAATGATTCTATATATCGAATATTACGCTAAATACGATCCTAACGTTTCGAACACATTTTCCATATTCGGGATATTTATAATTCAACTGCGCCCGTCGCGATCACGGCGATCATATTATCGTGAATACATATTGTGTACAAGGCGATTCTTTGCCCGCGAATCAACGGGGATTTCGAGTAAATCTGATAGGTCCGTGCGATGTTTTTTCCATCCGCACGGTTGTTTATCCGCTGTCGTAATTCGTGGGCACAAATAGATCAATTGTTGTCGGGGGGGAGGGGGGAAGTGCGCTCGAACTACCCGTAACATTGATTGTGTAAAATGACTAAGTGACTGAGTCAAGCCTAGCTGTAGTTTATTTTTCGTTTTTTTTTTTTTTTGGGGAGGGGGCTGAGCCCCCATTATTATTTGCACCAATATATCGTTATTTGCAATACGTTCATAATGTTATTCCTTATTCCGTGTAACAACCCGCGGGTTTTTATTTTTATTATAAACCGAAAAAATAATGTATACGTTGGAAAAATATCGACTGCCACGTGTGTGTGAGTACCTATATACGCACCGAGCTATCGTAATAGGTAACGGAAACGAAGGTCGAATATTGAAAACAACGTAAATTCGACAATATTGAACTGTTCGAATTCACGGGCGAAGAAACCTGCGGAATCAATCAATTTACTGTTTGAAATGCCAATAGGTTGTAGTTTAATGACCGATTAAACAAAATAATACGTTAGTTTTCTTTCGGTTTAGCGGACGTTGTCTTCCTCTTATTAGTAATCCGGACGACCGCGACGGCGGTTCCGCGTGCGCTCCTGGCGGACACGTTATCCACTCCGCGGACGGTCGACACGCCACCGAGCGGCGGCGGCCGTCGGAATACCGCGCGGCGGCAGCCGTCGGAATACCGCGCGGTGCCGACCGTCCGTCGGCAGACGCGCGCGCGGCCGTTAGATAGCGCTCGGTCACGTGGCCCGTTGCGGACGCATCTAGCCCGCGACCGTTCGGGCATCGCGACGCGTTCGGAACCGAACGCGTCCGTTCGCGGACCGTTACGGCGCGTGGGCCCGTCGTCCGACGGCCCGCGGTCCGTTCCCGCGGCGCCTTGGTGCCGGGTAACGGCGGTGCCGACCGGGCGCGCTGCATGCGGCGGCCCGGCCGCACAGGCATAAATACCGCGGAGCGCGAGCACAACGATCGTGCCTTAAACTAATGAGTAAGGAAAATTTACAAGCCTTGGTGACTCTTGGCTCTTACAGCCATTAATGCTGTCAACTTAATTTTTGGAGGGGTAAAGGTCGTCCCCTTGACCGGTTCGTCTACTTTGCGAGTCCGGTCGGGCGATAGCGATCTGCCCCGCACATTGCCAGATGGTCTTGCGCGTCTCTCGTCATGTCGAGAGTATGCCCCGGGTGCTCTCAACAAACGATAATATAATGATGAATATTAACTTTTGTTGAATCACCTGTACGTTATTATTATAATAATTCGTCGACGTAACGTCCGCAGAGACGAGAGTTGTACCGGCGATAGGGGGGGGGTGTAATAATTATTATCCCCCTAAACCCCGGTGTCAATAGATAATATCGTTTTAATCACGGGCCGTCTTTCGGGAACGTTTTGCAGAACTCGCGGAACGTCGATTTTATGTCATTTTATTAATATCGTCTCCGGCGTGGAAATCCGCCGAATTAATAATAAAAACGTATTTTTCGTCCGTATTCCAGAACCGCGATCACGTACCGCCGAAATGAAACGAAATCGAAAATAATATAATAATAATAGGTACCGCGATAAAACATTGTATTACCGAACAAACTGTAAGTAGACGTTTATTAATTTTACGGTAAAAAAAAAAACCACGGAATCCGATAAAATCGGGCGAAATAGGTACGCGCATAAATGCCGGGTCGGCACGAAACCATAGGAAATAACACGTAAAATCGAAATCGGTTCCGTAAATCCGATAGGTGTTATCAAAAACATGGTTATCGGATCCGTGGAGCCGTTGAGCGGATTTCGGTTCAGTGATATTCGCCGAGTCGTTTAGCCTTATCGTTTAGGTGACCATGATATTTTGTTATCGCGAAAAACCATTATTGATAATAATTGATAATAATAATGATTCAACAATCACGTTATAATTTGATACGGGCGAAATATTTATACTGATAACCGAGCAAGTGGTTATAACCATAGATAACAAATACAAATAGGCAATGAAAAACCTGTATGCAGCGACGTATTCAATATCCATAATTTTACACAACCGATATTGTATTATGGAACCATCAGTTTACAGAACGGTTTTTACGCGACCCGTGTTTACTTCTGACCTCCATTACCCGAGGGAGGAGGAGGGGGTGTCGTAAGGGTTTCCAAAGGGGCGGATAGGTATGCTGATTGCACAACCGAATATAGGAATTTTTACGCTCAATGATGACATTTTTTTTTTTTTTTGCAGCTTGTTCACGCGTTATTTTTTTTTTTATTTTATATTTCATACAAAACACGCAAATCCAATCAAACGTCGGCATTTTTAGTTGTTTATGCTTTATACCAGGTAGGTAGGTAGGTAGGTACCACAGATATATGAACAAAATATGTTGTGTGACGAAAAAACCGAATCGATTAAAATTACAGATGTAATGACAGCTATAATATTTCCAGGTTGTTTGATTTTCTAGACGCAATAATAATACCACCTTTAGGAGGGATAACTTGTCAAAACGATAAAAGTACCTATATTCATTTCTGACACGGTTTGGACGGCGTATTATTATTACAATCATAACAATGCAATATCTATTGTTGCGCATTATTTTATTATTATTTAGTGAAAACGGAATATGAAACGTTATCTGTCTGTGGCGTCGGCCGATTTTACGTGACGCGGTTAGCGTCCGAAAGATGGCGTTCGGTATACTGAAACGAGATTATTAATAATAGTATTACGACGGCGATATTATTGTATTGTATTACTGGCGATTTTACCTGCACGGGCACGACGATTTTCTGATCAAAATGTTTTTAAAAAAATGCGACGTTTTTAAATTCGGATAGTAGCAAGGAATCTATTAACTTTACTAGGATGTATGCTTTTGTATTTTTTTTTTCTTAATGTCTGTGAGCAACTTTTCTATCAGAAATCTTTTAACTAGTTGAAACTTTGGGAAGGTCATTTTTTGATTTTTCAAGGGGCTTTCAAAATTATTTGAGAAAAACCGAGAAAAAAATCATCTGAAAAATAATAAATATTCACGGCACTGCGTAACTAATTTCATTGATTTTAATTTTTGCAAATAACATTTTCTACTAGAAATATTGTGTTCCGATATAAAAAGGTCTGTTTTGTTGCACTCTGGATATTATTGCTCACGAAGTTCGCCGTTTTTTGATTACCCGTGTGGATTTTTTAATAATTGAGAAAAACTGAAAAAAAAAAAAACGTTGAACGAGTGGGAAAATTTAAGAAAATAATACTTTCATTAGTTTATTTTGTAGGTACTCTGTGAAGAAATGCTTGAAAGTTCAATAGGTGGTTCGTATATAATTATAAAGAAAAAAAAGTGATTCCTACTCACCAACTATATCGAATCGAAATGCAACCAAAACGGGCTAGTGTCATTTTTTATTCGGAGCAATATTTCTGATAGAAACTGAAAAAATGTAAAATATTTAAATATTAATGCCGCAAATTTGTCAGTTTTCGTTAAAACGTTTTCCCCGATTATCATGAAAAGTAGCTTGGAAATTTCAAAAACGACTAACGTAAACTCGCCAGATTCTAAATACGACAAAAAAAAAACGATTCGCGCGGAATCTCAAATCGCGTGTAAATAAAAAGTAAGACACGGGGACAAATGCGATCGATTATGACGTATCTATGGACAGTAAACAAACACAAATTATTAGACGGCTACCGAATTTTATCAGCTGCGGCGGGAGTGTTTGACCGCACATACGGTCGCCGCAGTGTAGGACATATAATCACGGGTACTGTACGCCCGGTACGGGTACCGAATATTTTATAACGTTTTAATTTTGTGAGATTTTACGCAATTTTCATTCGGTAGGTGGGGGCACTCAATGGATAAAACTGTTTTAGACCAAACAGAATTGATTGCAAGTTTAACATGAGATTTATTACGTTAAGTACGACTTGGCGGTCGAAGAAAATCAAAAAAAAATCGGGTGTAACGTAGTATTTTTTAACTTCACAAGAGTTTTCAAACGACGAAATTTTGATGAAAACCGTACCAAAATATCGCGGCCTTTCAAAACGCGTGTAGCCGAAACACGCCTCGAATCGTTTTTCCTTACCGACGGCTCACCGTTGCTCGCGGCCAAATAACTTTACGTGTCCCGCGATACCTTTACGACTTTTTACTTACACAACGCGGGGTACACCCGTTCGCACTATCGGCTTTTTTTTTTTCTCTCTTCCGTTCGCTATTTAAATGCGCGAAACACCGCGATGTCGAAAAACGCTCGAGGAAAATAATAGCTCGGCGAAAAGAAACAAGGGAATGAACAAAAAACACCCGACCGGGAATATCGTCGAAACGTGTCGACGCGCAGATCCGCGATCCGGGACGGGTGCGTGTGCCGAACCGCGGTGCGGACGACCGGCTCCGTCGGATCCGGCGGGTTTCCGACGGCGCGCGACCCGAACGCGAGCTCTTCGCCAACGAGCCGCGCAGAGTTTCGCGGCGGATTCAACCGGCGACTCATCGAGTCCTCGCGCGCGCGACGCCGACGGCGGCCGTCTTCGTGTAACACGTGTCGCGTTGTTTGCGCGCGCCCGACAGCGGAGAGAACGCACGCGAAAACGAACGTCGGTTCGGCGCCGCGGTGAACGTTTCGCGTCGCGTGCGTCGGGGCGCGACGACGGCGACGGTCGCGTCAATACACCGGCGATAAAAACGCGGCCGGGGCTGGCGACCGGCGAATAATTGTTTTCTTTTTTTCTTCTTCTAAACAATCGGTCACGGCACCGTGGTGTTATGACCACCTTTTTTTTTTTTTTTTTTACACGACGTTGTTTTTTTATCATACCGTACGGACCGGTACTGTTAAAAAAAAAATATCTGGGTTTTTAATTTTTTCCAAACAGATATTTTCGGGCGAAAATCGTCCGCGACGTCTCTGGAATATGAAAAAACGACGTTTAGAAAAAAAAAAAAATCGGATTTTCAAACAATACGGTATATATCGGTTGATTTCAATGGTTTTCGAATATCGCGTCGGTAAAGTGAAAATCCTAGCAAATATCGGAGTATCCGGAGTATCCAATAGTCGTGTCAGCTAGTCGCTGTGCTAATAAGAACCTATTGAAATATCCACTGACTAATATTGTGACCCAAAAGATCTTATATCATAATAAACAGTAGAAAAAAATTGTTTCATTTATTATTTACAATATTTCAAAGCGGTAAATTACGAATTTATTTCCAATTTGCAACCGATAATAAATATCGAAACCTTTATCCATCAGAGCAGGGTATTTCTGGTAAAAAAGTTGTTTACAGACAAAAATAAAACATCGTTGTAAAACCAATACATTTCTCGCTTTACTCAGAATCTGAAAGTAGTATAGATTTCGTTCAATTTTTTTTTTTTACTATTAAATACCTATTACTGTTAATATACCCGTATTAAAATTCAAAGCAGTTGTGTTCAATTAAATCATTTTATCTATAAAATAAAAATTACGTTAAGAAACACGCAAATATAAAATGCCTATAAATAGTTCAGAAATAACCAACATTTTTTTAAAATTTTACCACACATAAAAAAGGATAATATAAGATTTTAGTTCTGTGCGATTATTTTAAACTGAGTGGAAATTAAATTCAAAATAATCAAACCGTGAAATATATCGGGTTTTTCGAGGTTCTGCTCGATTATTTATTAAGAAAATTACACGGGAAATATATAAAAAAAAAAAAATAAAGGCTATTTTACCACTATCCAAATTTTACCGCTTTTTTTTTACCACTAAGTACAATTTTTAATCGTCCTCGTGTTAAATTTTCAAGTGTTTCTGTTCGGCCAAAACAATTTTATCTACAAAATATCAAATAATAACTGAAAAACTCGACAATGTCCTAAATTAAGAGTCTCCTTGGACTTTAAAGATTTAAACCAAAGGGGAACGATAATTTTACTTTAAGAAGGAGAACTCCGTCCCCCTCCCACTTTGACCACTTTTACAAAAAAAAAAAAACCGTTGAAAATAAATATTTCGTTATATAAGTTGCGCATTTTTTGTTATAATTCACCGAGTAGTGGTCATGTTTAGCAACGCTACTAGTATTACAATTAAATATAAGCACGCTGTTATAATTTACGAGTAGCGAAAAATCAACGCTATTTCATTGTATTCGATATAATTATCAGGTATGGAGTCAGTTCTTCCTGGCCCGTGATAGGATAGAATTAAAATTTTTTTTAACAATGCATATTATGCATTTTAGCATATTTCCTAACATGGTAAATTTATGTAGTAATTATTACTATTGAGAGTACCTACTCAAAAGCCGCGCACAGTGCAGGTAAATAATGCACTACTACTCTCCCCCTACACCCACGCATAAGTTTGGGTGATTAACGGGTTGATAGAAACAAAAAATGTCAACATCAACATATATTTAAACTAATACTCTATCCGTTTTAACATAGTTTCCTGTTTGAAATTAAACGAATTTCACCCTCAACAATTAGACACGAATCACTTGTACCGAAAACTAATGGTAACGTAAAACTGTAATGCTGCCTGTTTCTTAAGTTGTCGAAAACATAAAAGAGATGACGAAATGGCTATATCTTTATTGGACACCCTGTATATTGGGTGCTTTCCATTGAATTACTACTGGCCGTGTCTGTGAAAAAAAAAAAATGCACACGTCATCGGTTGGAACGTGTAGAACGCCAATAAATTACACAGTATTTGAATTCTTTATGATTTATGTTTCGGATGATGATACTCTTTGCTGCTGCGTGATGGTACGGCAGTAGTGCGCTAATAAAATAATACAAAAATATGAATTAACGTTGTTGTTTTATTGGCCGTTAAAAAATAAATAAATAATAATAATGATAAACGCGCCCTCTGCCTATATTTTAAACTATTTTTCTAATGCGAAAACAAAAATAAAATCGTAAATCAGCCAATATGCATTACACACACTGATGTTCGGAAAAAAATGAATCCATGCAGATGCCCCGTTTGGCATGTCCTTTTAAAGATTAATATTATATTTACCTGAACGATGGTTGTGAAACACGGCCATCATTACCAAATAAGGGGTGTTGTGTTGTGTTGGATTGAAAATTCGTATAAAAAGTCAAAGAATTTAACGGCATGGTTGCGAATGCAACGCGAAAAGAGCGTAGAAATAATATCGGCAGGAAGCCTTGAATCCAATCGGGGCAGAGACGTGAGACCAGTAGTGAAAACTAATTTCGTGGTAAATTCTGAAATCTCGCGAACCGCGCGAACGGAGAAATAGCCCGCGAAAGTCGGACGAAAACGGCAGCCAGTGACCCTTCCTGCAGCGACGAGAAATATTGCAGACAACGATCGTGTCGACATCTTGTATTTATATACTATGTCACATTCAACCGAGGATAACATTCCAAGCTCACGCACACATATTCACGTACTCACAATTGTACTTATTGTTTACGCGATAACAATTATAATAGCTATATACGTACGATAACAATATGTATATTTCGTCCTGTTTAGTGTATATATATATATATATAGTCCTGTTGTAATATAATAGTAGCCCGACCTATATCACTTTTGTGTGTGTATATACGTATATAAAGTCGATTGCAGGACGAGAAAGGTCGCCTTTCAAGTTGTAGTACACAATAGCGAAAACTTAACGACGACGACGACGACGACGACGATGACAACATCTTTACAAACACAATTGTATGGCTTTTAATTAAATATCGTCCTATCTCGAATTTCTTCCCGGAGCATCTATATGTGAAATCCTGAATTGCGATAGCCACACGAAATGTCACAGTGGTAGGTGCGATAAATATTAAATACAGACTACAGCTGATCCGCAAAGGAATAAGGAGTTGGCTGTATCGTTTCGGTTTTACAACGGCTATACGGCTTGTACGGTTTTTACCTGAAAACTTACTAAAATAAAAAATGACACAATAATGGAGTTAGGTTCTATTGTACAGAATTTTTTGATTTATAATATATAGTAATCGATTAGTTCTCAGGAGATTATTTTCTATGGAATTTCTCCCATCTTTTAATTTTTTGTGTCTCCCTCAAAATTTGTCTACCAAAAAATATCTCGCTTCAATTAAAAAACGACAAAAGATTGTTTTTTCGTAGAATTTTAGATGTAATTGGATAGATTTTTGAATTTTATTTGTAGGTATTTTTCAAAATAATTTAATTTAATTAAATTTTCGACTGGCCAGAAATATATACACGTTAAAACTGTTCGGCCATCGTGTAGGGGAGCGGTCTTAAATATTCAAGAGATTCATGCTTTAATTTTTAAATTCAATACCTGAAAAATATTGTATAACTTTTACCTATGTAAATTATAAAAGTATAAAACGAATTTTAAAAAATAATAATTATATAGGTAGTCAAACAGTTTATACATTTATAAATTATAAGACCCGACAATGAATTTGAAATGGCGTGCCACTGTGACCTTTTTTTCATTTTTTACTTTTCTATATTCTTGTATTAATTGTTGAACTATCTAATATAATATATTATTACTTAACTTCCAGTTTTCAAATCCAAGGACACCAGAAAAAAAGCCTTACGTGCGTAGTGTGTAGGTTAGGTACTCGTGCATTATTTATTTAGATTCCAATAATTTTCGAACTAAAGAACACTCCGCAATTGAATTATGTTTGAAAGACTCGCGTTCTCGACTTTACATAATAATAATAATAATAACAATAATATATACAATCGTGACATCGTTTTATTGAAAACGTAAACTCAAAATCGAATTACAACGTGCGCGTTGTGCGTGTTGCTACACGTGGAGGTAGGTACATATATAAAAAGAAAAAAAAAACACTAAAAAACGTTTACATACATATATACTTACAGAAAAAAAAAGAGAACAATAAAAAAAATCGCGCTGTGTGAATACGGAATAGTTTTTTTTTTTAAACATATTATATTATCGAAATAATGTATTTTATTGTAAACTTAACAAACTAATACGACGCCTTTACAATAATTTAAATTATTTATAGTTACATATACATGTGTATATATTATTTATAATAATATATAGTATTCGAAATATTGTCTAGTAGGCAAATATAATTTTTTTGGCCGAATGTAAAATTGTTTAGAAATCTAGCACAAATTCCATCGTGGGTTTTTCCCTCAAGTCGAAAAAAAATAGCCGATACTGCTGATATTAGGTTCTGTAGTATAGGTGGGAAGTTAGGAAGGTACAGAATTATAGAATAATGTTTAATTTATTACTGTGCTTAACAATAAATCATTGCTAACGAAAAACGATTCTGGAGCGAAGTTCATCGTAAACATTGAACATAAAATGATGATTATAAAAAAAAAATGTCTACGTTACACTCATTTTTTTTTCACCACTAAGCACAATTTATGATGAAACACGAATAAGTTTTCGATAATTTTTTTTTTATTATTATTAAGTTTGATATTGTAGCCTAACCCAGACAACGTCATGGGTTTTTAACTGACATTCTACGATCGTGGGAGGGGAAAACAAACGTGTTTTTGATAATGAAAAAGAGTGCATTGTGTAAAGTATATACGTATGTTCGAGCCATTTTTACATATTGTATCAGGAAAAAAAAGGTATTTAATTATTTAGAAAACGCTGTGTACACGATTTCTCGGGTAGGTACTCGTAACAACATAATATATGTATATATATATTATATTTTATACGAACACCCGAAGAAAACGCATCTGTGTAAAAATCATAAATTTCTTGGCGGTGAATTTTTATCGTTTGTATAATATAATAGCCTTTAAATAATTTATTAAACCGTCGTCATTCTTTCGTATTTTGTTTTGTTTTTTTTAAAATAATTAATAGATATATAGTTTAACCGACTGCGCTGAATTTTTAATATGTTGCAGATATACCTTCCGTAATTACAGTATTATAATATTGTTTGCCGTATTGTTGATACTGTGCAGTTTGATGAGACCCAAAAACAAATTATTATCGATAGAATATGATTAATAAGCGTAATATTTTAAAACGACACTTGAAATATAATTATTATATTGAAAAAAATAAAAATAAAGTATGCCTGCTGCAGCTACTTCTAAAATATACATTTACATAATATAGGACTCGTATTGTTACATTATAGTAATATGTTATCGCAATGCATATTACAGCAGTCGATGCAAAGTCATTGTTCGATGAAGGGTCGTTTTCAATGTTAAGGGTAGAGATAGATATATATTATACATACTTATAGGTATGCAACAACTCCTATACTTTTTACGCTCATTGTACTACATAAAACAAATTTTCACTTTTTAAGACGAATTAGTATTACTCGATACAAATAAAATATTTTCGCTTTAATTTGCGTACGAATCGCTGCCTGCACGTTTTTAGCCGAATTAATACAAATTTGAATTATTTTAACAAATTTGCATAATATTTCTTTTGTATAAAACATAAACATAAATATATATATATATAATTTTCTGTACAATTTCACGTAACAGAAACAAAAAATTTGGTCACTTATTTAAAATTAAGAATATTCGAGAATAAATAATGAAAGGAAATAATGTATGACTAACATAGATGAAGACACGGTGAATTACAGGCGAAAGAAGTTCAATAAAGAGAAATACGATACAGTGAAACTTTTACCAGTGGTAAAGTTCGTTAGGAGACGAAGGTTACAGATAGTTAGGTCACACGAAGAGAGGTTAGATCAGTTAGATCTGCAATGGAATGGAAACCACAAGGAAGAAAACCTAGGAAGACCTATGAAACGTTGGATTGATACAGTGAATGAAGATTTAGAAGTCCGGACGTTGGAAACCAAAGAGAGGCAAAGTGTAGTTATAGCGGCAAAAATGTGTAGGGAGTGTATAACCAGTAGAAATAGAGTAGATAAAAGTTTATGTGTGTACCAAAACTATTGGCTGAATACAATAAATAAAATAGATAGCTACAAAAATAACACGAAAAAGTCTAAAGTTCTAGGACGATCAGTCGTAGGTATGGAAATCGAAATATGACTTTGAGATCTTGACGAATGACCACTACCTGTCAGCTTACTCATACGTTGAATAATTTAGTTGCTTTATCAAAAAGTTGACCCCGAAAAGCTGAAAGCAAAGGGCAAGATTACTAGATAAACTTCAATAATAATATATATAATATAATAATATACTAAAGCGTTTTAACACCCCTGAAATTCTTAATTATACTATTAATGTTATTAAATTGGTCGAAAACATGAACTTTTATAGCTGAATCATTAGAAAATTATTATAAATATATTATTATATTATAAATTATTAGTTAAATTTCAACGATTCAATTTCAAAAAAAAAAAAAAAAAACATGACTTCCGTAGGATGTATCGGATATCAAAACTTTAATTAAATTTTAATTATTAAATTCATATACGTGCATATATGTATTAACGTTATATAATGTTGAATTTTACACTTGGTAATTTTTAACGTGTATTCAAAAATCGTGATGAAATAATTAATGCGATTTCTGATTACACATACTACGGAGTATATAACGGTTAATGAAATTTTGAAAACGGCTAGTGCTAAATTCTAATTCAGCAAATCTTTAAGGCAAAAACTTCTTGCATACAAATTTTAATGAATTCAAACGTTTTAACGAGATTTATTTATTTATGGTGTAAGTATATAAAAAACTAACAACAGTCATATCACATTATATATTTCAGCTCTTATCTTTTATAAAAATACTACCTCCTAAAATAATGTCTAAATTATTAAACTTTGCTCACGTGGTATAAAAATTACGTTACTTAGTACATAAAAAGTGGTGTTATATTGAAATTGGATTTCAATCACAAATAACATAATTTAAAGAATTAAAGCTATTTAAAAAATTCATAACTAATAAGAATGTAACTTTTTTTTAAGACAATTTTTTTTTTATAAAGAAGTTACTTAAACTACGTTAACTGGAAATATTTGACATATCGTGTTTAAACTGGAATTTCAACCTAAACGCTACAATTCACATTCTAAGAAAGAAAGCAAACAAAAAGGATCACAGACAACTAGGTGGATTTGGCATTTTATTATATTATTATTAGAGTCAACAATTACAAAGTATATTTTTATGCTCACTTAACATATACCACTTATTTTATATATTATAATTGGGTAATACAGTTTAAATTTTAAATTCGTTAATTTGTATTCGGCATAAAAAAATTGTAAAAATGTAAAAAAACCGAGTATATCTGAATTTTTGAGTAAACGAGTAAACTATTTATATTTCAAAGTTTGTTATTTTCGATATTTCGAGCTTGCCCCGTTTACTCTCATTAAAAATATTGTCAAACACTATAAAATATAACCTATACCGGTAAGTGATCCGATGTGACAGAACGATTTTCCTTTGTTTTAATATGCCTGACTACGGAATCGATCGTCTAAAAGCGAATTTATGGTAATAATATTATATTCTTTTTTTTTAAGTTTTATGCAAATTTTACAACCTAACTACCGTTGCGTTATACTATTTGTTTCGGCGTTGTATTCATTCGTGCCAATAACTCGAATTTGATCAAACTTCGACATTCTGTTCGTTTCCATGTGTGATTTTAACATTATGTTTTGAAACATATTATCATATTCAAATATATGTCCATATTTTAATAGAACCAGAGAGAATGATTTCCGGGTGTTTGCAATTTTTGTTAGAGAGTTTCAAATAGGAAACTTAACGTTCAAAGTAATCGCGTACAATTTTTTTAAATTTACGATATTACATTATATATTAGACTCAATAAGAAAAAAATAAAGAGTTTTGTGCAATAAAAGAAAACACTGCGTTTTAAATAATTGCAGTTAAGTTTGCTAAATTAATCACTCGTTTTGTACAGAACCCATTCAAAAAACCGGTAATATTTTATTGATCGAAATTACATAATTTTTGTGTTTATAATTTTGTATTATAAAGTTAGGTAAAACAAAACAAATACATAAATATATATTTAAATAACGATAAAAATAATCAATTCGATTGATTTTAATAATTTAAATTTCGATCAGTGTAGAACAGGCGTGAACAAACTCTAAGTGTCAAGTGGGCTAAATACATTAGATAATTTCCTGCGTGGGGCACACATAAATATTTTACGAAAAACAAAAAAATACTTTATTCTTTAAGAGTACAAATAAATTTAAAAGTTTTTAAAAAAATCTAAAATAGTCTTTGGTTCAAACCACGGGATCATATAAAATTGGCCATTTATTTTACAAATGGTATTACATATGCCATACCAATAACTTTTGTACATAATACCTTTTGATGTATAATACAATGTGTCCTATGAAATGTCTGTTCAACATACTTATTCATTGTTTTTTGAAATCTTTCAATGAAACCTCTATTTTTCCCCGTCATAGAAGGAGCTCCATCTGTTAGCCACAGACGATAACTTTGCCAAAGGTAAACCATAATTATTCATGAGTTCACAAACCGAAACGAAAATATCCTCTCTTGTAATAATATCATAAATAGGTCTAATTTCCAATAACTCTTCAAAAATATTTAATTACATATTGCAAACACGAAAAAGCACAGTTAACTGAGCTGTGCCACCAATATCGGTACTTTCATCACAAGCAATTTAAAAATACTCAAAACTAGGCATTTTAATTTTAATCTGATTACTCAAATTGCATGCTAGTTCAGTTATTCTTTCAGCAACCGTAGTTCGTGTTAGTGAAATGTTTTGAAAAGTTTTTAGATTTCCGGTACAAATAATTTCAGCAGTTTCAATGAAACACGATTTTATAAAATCACCTTCAGTGAACGGTTTCGAATGTTTGGCAATTTCCTCTGACAACACGTAACTAACCTTTACTGCAGCTTTACTTTCTTGTGGTATTTTAGTGAACATTAGCTGTTGGTGTTTATACCCTTATTTATACTCTTTCAGTTTTTCTTGTCTCAGTATTCCTTCATCCTAATCGTATTTTGATTTATGTTGTTCTTAATGTCACTTAAATTGTACAACTTTGGAACACTAACAATACTTTTGCATACTAGACAAATTATTTTATTATTAATTTCACGGCAAAAATATTGTAATTCCCAAATTTTTTGAAATTGACGATGTTCAACTGTAATTTTTCGTTTATTACTACCACTTGGTTTTAATACAGATATTTTTAACTATTAAATTTATAGTTGAATAACTGCCACAAAATTTAAACTTGAACACACGGTGGTTATCGAACGACTAAATTTCAGAGGCACGCGTGTCGTGTACCGACGATATAATATAAATTATCGATCTATTACCTATGTATATAATGTAAATTATATATTGTTTATGCATATATATATATATATATATGTATATACATATAAAATCATCAATAATACTTATTCGATTATAGTTTATCAAAATATAAGACATAATAATGTATACTAAATATATCATTCTCTAAGAATTTAAGATAGTTGTGACATACGATATTCATATTTAATAATTATTTTTTTTATTTTGTCCATTATTAATATTGGTAGCCGTGGGCCATAAAAAAATTATCCACGAGCCGCCTGTTTGACGTGCCTGGGGTAGAATATAAATGGAGGTAATAAATACACATTTCTTATTTTATATTATTATTATTATTGTATTTTCAAACAAACTTTTCTGGATCAAAACTCGCATAATTTGAACTTTCTAAATTTTAAATTATTATCATTACTTTTGTATCACATTCGTGAAGTATGTGTTTCGCACATAATATATTTATATCAACGTTGGCTGAAAATTACTTCTTTGATAATATTATAAAATTTAAATCGTAGGGTTGTCTTCGGAAAGTTGTAAAGTTGACACTATCCGTAAGTATATGTATGTTTTGAAAAAACGCAATGTTAAAAATATTTCTATAGACAATTTACTATGAATTATTCAGTTGTATGTAATTGTACTTGTATAAATGGTATTTTTTTTAAGAAAATCCAGGTTAATAAAAATTCCAAAAGTATCTCTCGAGCGATAATAAAAAGGTACATCCAGTGTATTGTTAGGTAAATATCGAAAAACTTAAAAATTTATTCAAACGTATATATTATTATAAAAGTTTTTTTATTCCATTTGGTATATTTTATACGGTTTAGTATAATATATGGTCAAACGTTGATTGGTTTTTAAAGTTTTAAGTTGGTTATATAAAATATAGCGTATTATTAAGTTATGAAAACGATACACAATGAATTCAAGACTTAAACATGTTTTTCAATTTGATTTTCACTCCACAGATTTGCGTATTATCCAACGCAAAAACCAAATTTGTTAAAATGTTTAGGTATATATATAAAAAAAAAGTATGAAAAATAAGAATGGCAAAGCATTAAAATAAAAAAAATGTTTTTATTATGTTATTGTATTATTATCTATAAACAAAAGAAAAGGTTTTTTTTGTTGCCTGATAATAATATAAACAAAAAAAAAAAAAAAAACAGTGTCTTTAAAATCTTTCGAGTTTATAATACTATAAGCATAGTTCACCAAGGGTAAATTAATCAGTTTTGCTTTTATACTCGAAACAAGTCTACGGCGGGGAAGGTGAAAATTTTTGACCGGTATTTTCCGTATAACGATTATGCCGATAAAACAGTCTTATAAGTTTTTTTTTTTTTTGACAAATTTCTGTCGTATATCTTTAAGGTTTTAAGCACCTCCCATCATGATCTTATCTACAAAATGATTAAGTATGTTTGAAATAATATCCATATACATACAAAAAAAATACATTTTCACCAAATTTATTGTATGTTTAAAAAAACAATGTCATTGGTTTGGTTTTGATTTTAAGCGGAGCGAAGAAGCTGTGTGTAAACGTTTTTTGTTTTTTTTGGAAAAAACTTTCGTGGTTAGTAAAATTTATCAGATTCATTCATGTCGAATTTACGTATTTTGTCCTTATTGAAACTTTATTTGAACAATTTTTCAAAATGTCTAATAAATTTTCTAAAAAATGTATTTTTATACATC